ATTAGTGATCTTGTAAATAAGAATTAGAACCAATAGGAGGAACCATCAGAAAGAAGAAAAAAAAATTGAACAGAAGAAAAAAATAGCAAATAGTATGCTTGAATCTGTATTCAAACTCCATAGTTCCTTCTTTGGATGTGGATTGCATTTTCCATCATGAGGCCTTTGGAGATGTCTTAGATCCTTGTATTGCTGAGAAGGGTTAAGTCTATCAGTATTAGTACCTAATTGATTATGTTATTCCCTTCTTGAGCCAAATCTGATGAGAGTAAGGTTCAAACAATGCTCATGTCCCTCCCTTCTTTCCCTGTTCTGTAATAGGTTTTTGTGCCTTTTCCTGTAATGTAATTTACCCTTTTCTGCCTCCTCCTTTCACTTTCTCTTGGTACATTTTCTTGGTTAGATCAGATTAATCCATTTACTTGGATCCATTTAACCCACTTGATTAGATTTTTTTATTATTATTACATCAAAGTCAATTTATATCCACCCCCTTTGTGTATACCACTTTGACGTGGTGTAATAACAATATAGTTTTCAAGGGTTACAAGTGTTATCTTCCCTTGTAGGAATGTAAACAGTTTGCCCTTATTAATAACATGTTTCTTTCTTTTCCGTTTATCTTTTTATGTCTCTCTTGAGTCTTGTATTTGAAGATCAAATTTTCTATTGAGCTCTGGTCTTTTTATCAGGAAGGTTTGGAATTCCCCTATTTCATTGAATATCTATCTCCTCCCCTGAAAGGTCATGCTCATTTTCGATGGGTAGTTGATCCTTGGTTGTAATCCAAGCTCCTTTGCCTTATGGAATATCATATTCCATGCCCTCTGATCTTTTAATGTAGAAGCTGCAAGGTCCTGCATGTTCCTGACAGTGATTACATGATATTTAAATTGTTTCTTTTTGGCTGCTTGCAGTATTTTCTCTTTGATCTGGTAATTTTGGAATTTGGCTACTATATCTATATACTATAGCTACTATATGTACACTATGCTATATCAGATATATTATGTATGAAAACTTGGCGTTTTCAATTTGGGATCTCTTTCAGGAGGTGATTAGTGGATTCTTTCTACAGCTATTTTATCCTCTGGTTCTAGGACCTCAGGGCAGTTTTCCTTGAAGAGTTCCTGAAAGACCTTGTCCAGGCTCTTTTTTTCATTGTGATTTTCAGGTAGACTAACAATTTTTAAATTGTCTCTCCTGGATCTATTTTCCAGGTCAGTTGTTTTACAAAACCAATGAGGTGTTTTGCATTTTCATTTATTTTTTTCATTCTTTTGTTTTTGTTTGACTGATTTCTTGTTCTCTCATAGGGTCATTAGCTTCCATTTGCCCATTCTATTTTTTAACAAATTGTTTTCTTCTATTAGATTTTCTGCCTCCTTCCCCATTTGGCCAATTGTATTTTTTAGGGATTTGTTTTCTTCAGTCTACTTTTCCCCCCCTTTGGCCAATTGTGTTTTTTAGGGACTTGTTTTCTACAGTTAATTTTTGTCCTTCCTTTTCCAAGCTGTTGACTCTCTCTTGCATACCTCTCATTTCTTTTCCCATTTTTTCTTCTCCCTCTCTCGTTTGACTTTTAAAATTCTTCTTAAACTCTTCTAAGAAGGCTTTTTAGACTTCAGACCAGCTCATAATCCCTTTTTGAGATTTTGGATGTGGGTTTGTTGACAATGTCATCCTCTTCAGAATTTCTCCCTTTATCTTCATTCTTCCCATGATAGAATCTATGGTATGTTTCTTTTTGCTCATGGTGTTTGCTTATTTCCTGGCCTTTAAAGAGATTGAGCTCTCCTACTGGGGAGCAGAGGCCACTTGATCCAAGTGTATGTTGGGAATCTAGGGCATGGTCACTGGCTTTGTGTGCTGGGGCCTCCAGTGTTGGCAGTTGGAGGCTGTAGGGTTCTGGCAGCTTACCTGGTGTTAGGCTGGAATCAGCAACACTGGAACTCTAGGGGTAAGATTGGGTAGTGTGGCTCCTGGAGATTTCCTGTTCACCCAGGCCTTTCCTTCCTTTCACTTTCTTCAGCTCCTTTCAGAGGGATGTTGCAGAATGTTTATCTGCCTGGGACCCCTTGGTGTGCTGCTTCCCTTAGTTTTGAGGAGGCACCGGGACACCCTGTTGCTATATAATCTACCTTTGTATTTCTATAGTAACATCTTCCACCTTTTAGTTTCTGTGTTAAGAGAAAAAAGTAGAAGTTAACTTTTTTTTTCTTTTCGGTGAGGCAATCCGCGTTAAGTGACTTGCCTGGGGCCACACAGCTAGTGTCAAGTGTCTTGAGCTCAGATTTGAACTCAGGTCCTTCTGACTCCAAGGCCAGACCTCTATCCACTGCGCCACCTAGCTGCCCCAGAAATTAACCTTTTTGAGATGAATAGTTTCAAACTTGATTAGAGAATCAACTTGATTAATATTAGTGGTTTTATAAATTTTCTATTAGTCACAGGCAATATTTCCTGTGATTCCAAGCAAGTCAAGTCAGTATTACTACTCTGTTACTGAAGTTATTATAATTTTGAGAAATGTTCAGCATGGGCAGTATTATCCTAGTATATTCTGTGGCCAGTAGACAATATGATAAACGGGAAATTAGCTAATTTCGTAGTTTTTGTTTATTTGTATGCTTTTTCCAAAAGAATCAGTTCTGCCAAATGCTCACACATTAAGAAAACAATTCTTTTTTTTATCCAAATTTAATTCCAAAGACTGTCCAAATCTAAACTTTTAGCCTAACTTAAGAAAGTGTTCACTTCTCAAAAAATGAAAAATCTTTTCTGTGAAATGAGAGTTTTGTATGTGTTTTTTCAAACTCATTCACTTGGGTTAGACAGATTTGCATAAAGTCACTGATTGCCTGCTAAATGTGCTTCGTGTGCTTGCTTGGAGAGTAGTTAATGCCTGGCACATAGTATGTACTTAATAAATGCTTCTTATGGGTTGACATCCATATCCTTTATCTTCATGACTTGAAATTGTTTTTGCGGAGTGCTTAAAATTGGTTTTTCTGGATGTAGATAACGTATTTATTGGTTTGTTAGAATTGATTTTGAATGTATTGATAGCATCAAAAATAGCTCTTACCTTTAGTATTATGGAAGTAAACCTCCTTTTGATACTAAGTCTCCTTGTATCTGTAGACTGTTAATTTGTTCACCAGGCTAAAAATGAGGTATCATTTTATGTCAATTCATGAAAGACTTTTTTCCTTCTGCATAATAGGAATTTCAGTGGTAGAGCTGTGATTATTGGTCCTGGTGCTCATTTTCCTCTCCTTACCTCTCTATAAGTCCTTGAAGACCTAGTATTTTTCAACCTTTACATATATATATATATATATATATATATATATATATATATATATATATATATATGTGAAGTTGGGCAGCACATGCTGTCTGAAATTATTTACTTTTCTTCTAACTACCTTGTCAGACCTCTAACTTTGCTGCTGTCAAGATCAAAAGATGGAGAAACTTCCTATTTAAGGTAGAGATGTGGCTGACTTGCCGAGAGGACCAAATGATAAGTTGTAGTATGAAATTTCAGAAAATATTTAAACCCAAGCTTTATGATGGTTTTTAAAAGGTCACTGTTGATTTTAAATTTTATCTTGTTTTTAATGAGGTTTTGTAGGAATGAAAAAATTTAGACCTTTTGTACTAGCTGTTGGAGCCAGATGTTAGTCACTTGGGTGGAGCAACATCAAATTGAATATTACCCTGGAATTTCAAGGGCTAGCTTTCCGTACTGAATCTTGGAAATTTTAGGCTTTCTGTGATTTCAGGACATACTTTCTCATTCAATGCATTGGACTAATGTTTGGAAAAAATCTCATTGGCATGTTGTATCCTAAATTTCCTCACTATTTCTGATAGAGAGTAGAGGTGAAAAATATATATTAGATGTGTTTCTTAGATCAAAATAAACTTTGCAATAATAGCATTAGTATTTCTAGGGTAAAATGTGAATTAAGAAGTAAAAACAGTTATGACATTGTTTGAGAAACACGCAGGTATCTGAAAGTTTTGTTTCTTTGTTAGTACTGTTTTTGGTCTGTGCTTTCCAGGTAAGAGGAGGTATAAAGCTAAGTAGAAATTTTGGCCTTAGGAGGTGATTGGAGAGGATAGTCTTTGTAGTAGTATAGTAGTGAATTAGGGAACTAGGATGCTGAAAAAATTTCATCCTTCATTGACTGGGTTCTCAGTGTGTTTTTGTCATGCAGTATTTTGGGTAAGAAAGCCTTTTAAATGTCAGAATTTTAAATATTAGCATTTAATGTTGCCATAATTGCGAAGAAATATGCAGGTCTAAACATTTGGAATGCCTAATTCTTTTTTATATAGTTATTTTAAAATATGATAGCTATCTTCACGTCTAAAAAGATATAGGACAAGGCTTAGTAACTTTTTGGTTTTGGTGAGTTGTGTGTGTGATGGGTGTGTGTATGTGTGTATGTACACATGTAACAAAACTCAAATAGTTGAGATTATGCCAACACAGTGGGAAAGTTCCCTTTGAATCCTTTTAATCAGTCTCTGTGATCCCTGTGAAAGGAGAGCTGGGATCACCTGTGGGTGGGTGACAGGGGATAGGATTGGGGAGATCTCAGGACAGATCTTGTTATAACTAAGATTATTGTTATAACATGAAATGACTCCATGGTAATTTCTGTTGTTTATTTTGGGGATTGTCAGTTTCCTGAGTAGGTAATTTTTGCTTGGAGGGAGGGTACCATCTCTGAAGTGTCTAAAAACAGTAAGTTCAAGAAATATAACATTTAAATGCAACTAAGCAATAAGTGTATTTTTCTTAAATGGTGACATGAGTGTCTGGAAAATGTAAAACATTGTTCAAAACTTTTTAGAAATATTCCATCAGTCCAACACACCAACTATAGTAAAAGATTCTACAGTACATACTGTAGAAAAGCATGATGATTGCATGAAATTTATTGTTACTTAGTGTTTCACACCTATTTCTCTTTAATTTCTAGATTTTGGGTCACTGTTTGACTTAGAAAATGATCTTCCTGATGAGCTGATCCCCAATGGTGGAGAATTAAGCCTTTTAAACAGTGGGAACCTTGTTCCAGATGCAGCTTCCAAACACAAACAACTCTCAGAGCTTCTGAGAGGAGGCAGTGGCTCTAGTCTAAACCCGGGAATAGGAAATGTGAACTCCAATAGCCCTGTCCAGCAAGGAATTGGTAGCCAGGCCCAAGGGCAGCCGAACAATGCTAATATTGCTAATCTAGGTGCCATGGGCAAGAGCCCTCTGAATCAGGGAGACTCTTCAGCATCAAGCCTGCCAAAGCAGGCCACTAACACCTCTGGACCTACTCCCCCTGCTTCACAAGCACTGAACTCTCAAGCACAAAAACAAGTAGGGTTGGTGACTAGCAGCCCTGCTACATCACAGACTGGACCTGGGATCTGCATGAATGCTAATTTTAATCAGACGCACCAAGGCCTTCTTAATAGTAACTCTGGCCATAGTTTAATGAATCAGCCCCAGCAAGGCCAGGGGCAGGTAATGAATGGATCTCTTGGTGCAGCTGGAAGAGGAAGAGGAGCTGGGATGCAGTATTCTGCTCCTGCCATGCCAGGGAATGCAGGTAGTGTGCTGGCAGAGACACTGACCCAGGTTTCACCACAAATGGCCGGTCATGCAGGATTGAACACGGCACAGGCAGGAGCCATGACAAAGGTAAGTGTATGTCCTTACATATTTATTAATTCTTTCTACTTAATAGCATGGCTTATTCACAAGTAGCCTATTAGCATGGAACTCTGCCTAATCTTTTAATTAGTTGCTTTCTTCCTGCCTTGCGTCTGTCCGTCCGTCCGTCTGTCCATCCGCAGTTGGGGGTTAAGTGACTTGCCCAGAGTCACACAGCTAGTAACTGTTATATGTCTGAGGGTGGATTTGAACTCAGGTCCGCCAGACTCCAGGGCCAGTGCTCTATCTACTGCACAACCTAGCTGCCCCCAATTAGTTGATTTCTTGAAAAAACAATTTTTTCTGAAAATTTTTTTGCAGACTATTTCATAGGTATAGAGTATATATATATACACACACACACACACACACACATACATATACATATACATATACATATACATATACATATATTTGCAGTAGTCAGCAAGACTATATACTAAAAAGATTCAGGAAATCTAAAACTGCTAGGGTTCAAGTGGCAATTCAGATTATTGTTTACTGTATGACTTGTGACATAAGCAGTTGGCCAAATGGTATTCTAGTAGGGGTTTGGCACTGGTATGGTGGGTTTTGAATATGACTATATTAATATTGTTCTTGCACACTGACTAATGGGGGCCCCCAAATGCAGGATATACATTGTACTTGAGATTTTCTTGTTTATTTAAGCAGGTCTTCAGTGTACAATAAAGATTTTTTTAGAATCTGCTCTGTACAGAACACCACGTAGGTGCAGGGGAGGTTACCAAAGCATAGGTAAGACATAGATAGAATCATAGATTTATATCTAGAAGGAACCTTGAAGGCCATGGTTCCTGCTCTCCTGGAACTTACTTTGTTGTGGAGAGATAAGGTACAAACAAAAGTAACTTTGATAGGCTATCCCTAAGTGATTTAGAAAGTTTTGAAACTTGAGAGGTTAGGGATAGGATCTGTATCTGTGATTTCACTGATGAGTAATACAGAAATTCCCTCTTCTAATGCAAGCCCAATACCTTCTCTCAAATTTGTATTTAGAGAATTGCCTGGAGCAAAAGTGTCAAACTTGGTGAAAAACTTTGCATTGTGACCCAAAAAACTCCCAAGTGTGACCTGAATCAGATTGAAATGCAATTGGGAAATGTTTAACAAAACAAATAAAAATATGTGCAACATAAATGATGTTCCTTTCTAAGTAAATATGCTTCTTTCTAAGTCACTATCCCTTTCTGTTTGAGTTTGATGTCCCTGGCCTAGAGCATGATGAGGTTAAGTGACTTGTCCAGGGTATATGTCCAGCCAAGTGTATGTTAGAAGCAGAACTTGGTCCCAGGTCTTCCTGGATCTCAAGGCAGCTCTCGCTCGCTCTCGTGCGCTCTCGCTCTCGCTCTCTCTCTCTCTCTCTCTCTCTCTCTCTCTCTCTCTCTCTGCCTGCTATGCTACACTTAGGCTCCTGTGCCAGATTTGCAGGATGTGATTGACATGAGGGGATTCCAGAAGACTTCATGAAGAGTGGAGAAAGTCATATTTTCTAGAATTTAAAGCTATAAGGGGCCTTACAGATCATCTAGTCTTAATTCCCTCACTTGATACATGAGGAAATCAAGGGTCCTTTTAATCTGCCCAATGTCACATTTCAGTTGGACTTGAAAGGATAGGTAGGAATTCAGCCAGAGAGAAGGACATAAAGGAACACTGAGTAAAGATGAGAACATGCCAGCGTATGGCACTATATAGACAGAACAGCTAGGTCCAGATTAGTGAGAATAATGAATCCAGTGGTGTAGTGGTTGCATGCATTAAAAATCTCACTGTTCGAAGTTTAAATGATGTAAAGTATGAATATTGCTTACCATATTAGTTACCAGTGGAAATATGCAGTGTGATTTTGAATAATGTTCCCACTTCATAGGATTTTGAATTTATTATTTGTACTAATTGGTACCTAGCTTTATGTATATCCAGTGACATCAAATGGATCCAGATCTCTGCAAAGGTGCTGGAGGAGATGTCTTCTCATGTCTTCTTTGTAGCCAAAGCTTTTTCTTTATAACTTTAATTGTTTTGCGGTGGTTGTTATTTGCATTTACATCATTGTAGTCCTTGTATATATTGTTTTCCTGGCTTTGCTTACTTCCCTTAAAATCATGTACCACAATTTTCATTGACAGTGTTTAGGTTTTGTCTTGTATTGTTGAGAATCTTTTTGCAAAAGCCAGAAACATAAAAATGTTTGAAATGGTGAGTTCTCTAAGGCAGCAGTTTTCAAACTTTTTTGATTACTCCTACAGTAAAGAATTTTTGAACACGCACCCCCAGTATGTATTTATTTACTTATTTATATACATATACTACTGTACTCATGATTATGTGTTTATAGAACTTACAAATGTTATAAAACAAAAAATAGGAATCAAGGAAGATGATAAATATAAATTAGTATCTGATCCTGGAGTCATTAGGGAGCTAGTCATTGGAGTATAAGTAGAGTAGCGATGACATGGTAAAACCTATGCTTGAGAAAATTCACTGTGACACCTGTGTGGACGCTAAGAGACTTGAGTCAGTTAGCAGGCCATTGTAATACTTTAGAGGAGAGGTGATGAGGAACTGAATGAGGATGGTAATTGTTGAATGGAGAGAAGGTAATCTTTATGATCACTATTATGGAGGTAGAATCATGACTTAACAATTGGTTGTGTGTATGGGATAATAAATTGGGAATAATACAAAGATTTTGAAGAAAGTGGATGACTGGAAGGATGGTGGTATCCTCTATAGAAACAGGGAAATTCAGAAGAGGTATGAGTTTTAGTGGAAAGTTATTGTTATGAGGTCTTTGCATATTGAAATCCTTATGTGCTTGCTTATCCTTTTCTATTCTCTCTGTTCCACCCACCACTCCACCACAAAAAAGGATATTGTATCAGCTCTTACTCTTTTACCACTTGAGGGGGAGGGGGTAGCTGGTAATGGACTGGTGGGGATGGAGGGACGGAGGGAATTTTAAATGTGCAGCCTGAATTGTGGTTAAGTTTTAACTGCCCAGTGAGTACTGGAGTATCCTGTGTGGAAGGAGACAAATCAGCCTTGACATTGGAGACCGCTGCTATATAGACAAGAGAAGGGGTTCACATGGTCAGAGATATGAAGCTATAAATGACCTTAAGTATCATCTAGTACAGGGATTCTTAACTTTCTTTTGGAGGTCATGGAGCCCTTAGCTTAGGCAGTATGGTAACCTATAGATCTCCCTTCTTAGAACAATTTAAATAATTGGAAAAAATGCTAAATTTTAGTTAGAGGTTAGTGAAAATAAAAATTAACTTTCCCCCATCAACATTTGCAGATCTCAGGTTAAAAACAGGTGATCTGGTCCAGCCCCCTCATTTTATGGAGAAGGAAACTGAAGCCCAAGAGGGGTGTGATTACTTGCCCATGGTAACACATAGACAAGTGGCAAAGCTAGGATTCAAATCTAAGTTGTCTTATAGACCCCACTTTGTAGCATTTTTTTCCTATGCAGTCTTTCCATTGTGTGTGTTCAACCTGAACCAGGATGTCTAGGCCAGATCCATTCTTAATATACACTGCTGTTAGGATTATCCATACAACTTCCAGGTTTGAGAGCAGACTGTTCTGCTTATAGGCCTAGGTTTGGGTCATCCCTAAATTCTGCACTCAATTTGGCATGCATCACTTGTTAATAATAAACCTGTCAGGATATTCAGCACAACTGGTGGGAAGCAGTTGGCTGAAATGATATGATATGATTTTAAATTTATCTGTTACAAAATAGATTAGGTGGTGATTCTAAAGTTTCTCTAAGCATTTTTACTTTTTAGAAAAGAATTGCAAATAATATTTTTCAAAAACAATTTTTGTTGACCTTTTGTTTTTAAATTATTTATGTTCTTATAATGAAGAAAAAAGAGAAAGAAAATACTGCCAATACTAGCTAACAATCACAAAGCTTACTTATTTCCAAAGCACTGTGGAAAGTGCCTTATACATTAAAACTAACCCGTCTTTAAAATAAGTCTGATGTTACATGCAGCATCTCTTGTTCAGGTGGTCCTTAATTTCTTCAAAGGAAGGGATAGGTGCAAAGTTGCTTTTTCATATCACTTCTTTGAGACTAACCTGATCATTGTAATTTCTCAGCATTCAGTTTTGATTGTTATATTATTGTTCTCTCCATTTACATTGTTGTAGTCCTTGTGTCTGTTAAGTAATATTCTTATTACTACATTCATGTGCCAAGATTTGTTTAGCCATTCCCTAACTAAACAGTATTTACTTTTTGATTCCAGTTCTTTTCTACAACACAGTGTACTGCTATAAATATTTTGGGGTGGTGTGATATCTCTCTTTTTGTCATAGATCTCCTTAATGGTATTTTCCTTGCAGGAGAACTTTGGGTCAAAGGATATATTCATTTTACTCACATTCAGAGTTACTTTTAAATATTGAGCCTCATGTGCATTTAATTTATTCAAGGCTTCTTAACCTTTTTTGGTGTCATGGACCTCTGTGGCAGTGTGATGAAGGCTAGTGACTCCTCAGAATTTTTTCACATGAATAAAGTATACACAGATTACAAAGGAAATCAAATATATTGAAATAGTTATCAAAATATATAAATATATTTAATATGTTAAATTTAAATTCCTAGTTCATACAAAATTCAGAAATCCACTGATTGGCTTTCAATTTGAAATCTTGATATTCAGCCTGAATAATTTCAGCCAAACTTAGCAAACTTGACAGACTCTTTTCTGGGTGGGAATATAGCATGTTGGAAAGGGAAAAACACTGTCTCAGACCTGTCTTTGTCCTAGCTATGTGTCACATTGTTATTGTTGACAACGATAATAATAATAGCTAGCATTTATATAGTACCGTCTTTGGACCAGGCGCTGTGCTAAGCTCTTTACGGATACTATCTCATTTGATCTTCACAGTAACTCTGGGAGTTAAGTGCTGTTCAATCCTTGTTTTACAGA